CTACTATGAAAACATGGTACTACTCACCATCATCATGGGCCCATTGCTTTTCTTATGGAGAGGTTGGGGGGGGGGGAACTCAGTTGGACTCGAAACCATATATGGAACAGCAAAATTAACAAATCTTCCTAATTTTACTTTCTAAATTAACAACTTTTATATATATTTTCCAATTACTCTTCCAACCCATTTAGGTCCCAGGCCCCTTATTCAGTTCCGTAATAATTTTTTCACAGACGGTAGGAATCACTGGGTGAGAGATCAGCCAGTCGCAAGGCAGCTATCTAAACACAGGAAAAAACAAACACACACCAAACATCTATGCCTTCAATGGGATTCGAACCCACGACACCAGCGTCCGAGCGAGCGAAGACAATTCATGCCTTAGACCGCGTAGCTACTGTGACCGGTTTTTCGTATATGCTATAGTTCTTCTACCATTATTGGGGGTAAGCTGTAGCGTAGTTGGTTGAGGCACTATACTGCTAGCCGTAAGGTTGCGGGTTCGATTCCCGATGAGGTCACTGAATTTTTCAATTTACCTATCCTACCAGCCACATTATGGCCCTGGGGTCGGCTCAGCCTCTAACAGAAATGAGTACCAGGAATCTTCCTGGGGGTAAAGGGCAGCCGGCACGTAAGGCTGGCAACCTCACCGCCATCTGTGAGCCGATTGTCTAGAAAATGTGGGAACCTCGACATCTCACAGCCCAATGAGTCTCCAAGGTCTATCACAGGGATAGTTCTAACTTCTTTTTTTTTTTACTTCTACCATTTCTAGTTTCCAAGATATCTAACGTGACTGACAGGACAGACAGACAGACAGACAGACAGAAGTATGCTGTTACTAGCATATACTAGCATATACGAGTATGTGCGCTATGTATCACGATTGAGGCTGTTTTATTATTGCTGATTGGCTGGTTGTAAAGCGGCACTGTCATGGGCCCTAATTTTAGAACAGGTTGCAGTGCTGTCCACTCAGATATTATGCTGACAATTTGTGTTGTTGTTTCTCTTTGCGGTGGATACGTAGATAACACTGACGTGTGTAATTTATATGGATCTGCTGATGTTGTGTAACTATTTATTCATCTATTTATGGCTTACTTAACGACAACCAGTAGATGGAATATATAGCGTCTATTGACTGGACTGCAGTGAATAAATCAGTTTGTAAGACTGTGGAAAGAAGTGGTCATGGCCTAATTTGAGATAATACCCCGAAAATTTCATTACGTAGACCGAGGAAAACTAGGAAAATCTTAGTTAGGTTTGCTGGTTTCCGGGTCGAGATTTGAAAACCCTGGACCTCCGGAAGAAGAAACGGGCGCTGATCGGTCGACTGCGGTTTCCGGTGTCGGATATTTGATGACCATCACACAGACCCACTGCCAGTAACGTGGCTTAAATATATAAGTATGTACTGTGTGAGGCTGCTTGTTGTGTGGGGACGGTGTAATACAGTAAAATGTATTCACTTCATATAATACCATAACATGACGCGTAACCCTCTACAAGGAAAAGCTCGTCTACACAACATCTGCAAGGTTAGTTCTTAACACTCAGAAAACATACAGCATCTCTTTCAGAAATCTCAATCGAATTCTGGTGTTCTCGAGAGGGAAAGGAGCTGTTTCTTTTTTATGAGAAACAAATGACAGCCACAATTAAACACCACGGCATAATGACCTACTTAAAATAAAAACAAGGGATAATTGACACTGCTCTATAGGAGTTAACATAATATTATTCTGCAAAAACAATTCTAGGCATATTTCGCATAAAGCTCAAATAGAAGAGTTATGGATTTTCTCATATTCGAATTAACGCACAAAGGATTATTTAATTCCTATAATTTATTACTATGCGGTGTATATTCAAAGTAATACAAAAATTATTTCTACATGTAGTGTGACAAGCAATAAACAGTTGATTCGAATATACACGTTAGCCTAAAAGAAATAGAAACATTCAAAATTTTACAGAAAGAAGACTTTTAATGGCATGGCCGAGATACGTACATGGTTTGAAAAGTATGCCCTGAAGTTTACATGGGTAAGTTACAAGTGTTCTATATGTGACCCTTCCGTAACACGGCAAATATCAATGCGATAGTCCAGTTCTTCCCAAACGCTTCTCAGCATGCCCACGTCAGTTCCCCATATACGAACTTTGTGTTTGTTCACCGTACCGCTAATGTGCAACGTTGATTCGTCACCGAAAACTGCCGGCTACAGAAATCATTACTTTCTTCCGTTGCTGCGTGTCCATACAGAATGAGTGACGGAGGGTTTTGTCGTTTTCTGTGAGATTCTGCAATAATTGCAACCGGTAAGGGAACATTCGTAAAGGTTTACGCAAGATATTGCGCACAGTTTTTGTGGAACTTGAAGTTCTATACTTGCACGTGTTGTCGACGTGTTGACACGAGTCATTTAAACTGTCTATTTCTTTTAGGCTAACCTTGTACACTAAATAACATGAAAGTCAATGAATTACGCAAAACGAAAAAGAAAGTATGTGAAAGTGACAATGTGGATTGTATTCATCTGGCTTGGGATGAAAACGAATGGCAAGCAGGATATTATAAATATAGTTATAGAGCATAGGGTTCTGTAAAGGGTGGTGAATTTCTTGACTAGCCGAGAGACTATTGGTTCCATGAAATTAGTACCAAATTACAGCTTAATTTTTTTCCCCCATTTTTGGTCTCACAATATCAGAAACACAGACATGAAATGCGGTAACACTGAAAGATAATTAAATATAAGTTAGTGTATTTTACTGCTTAGCTTAACGTTTACTTAAAAGCGATAGATCTCAATCCCATCAAACTAACCACAAATTAAGAGCAAATTTTTAACAACAAACTTTAAAAAATATAGTGTTATTAAAATCAAATTAACCGTAAATTATATGTATAAGCCTGTATAGTAAATATACACGTATATTTTCTATTAATGTTCTTGAGTTAACCTGCACGCCTCATGATTTACTTTTGATTGTACGTATATCTTGAATCATGGCGTTGTACATAATAAAGCAATTTCGTGCGTGACCAATTAATTTCGTTCGATGGCTGTATTCTGTAACCTTTACCAGTATGTCCAAATTTAATTTGGCCACGGAACACTTTCGCACTAGAAGAAATATTTGTAGAACCCCTAAAAAGTTGCTACATATTAAATTGTACATTTTTGAACCGAGAATAATTTTTATGTATATAAAATTGAAGGTTTAAAATAATAGGGCGCACATTCGTAATTACCTGTGTGAAAGGTGTTCTTTTCTTCCTTGTTCCATGAATTCTAATTCTGTCTCGCTTCGGATGGGAAGGTCTAATTTCAAATCTGGCTCCGCATTGATACCGTTTCTATATTTTGTTCTTGTTTCTGAGCAAACCGATAATCCAGTTTCACACAAGCATCTGCTGGCGAATTGCACATCCTCATAAATCTTTTTCCTCTGATGAAAATCACACTTTAGGTAATTATTTTCTTCCTTTGAAAATTACATTAAAATGCCCCAAAATGATCATTAGTTAAATTAAGGTCATAAAAATAATAATAATATTTGATTATATTTATGTAGAGTTTGGGATATCCATGGAACTAGCTAGGCTGATTAAATTGTGTTTGAAGGAAGCGTGTAATAAAGTCTCTATCGGTAAACCCTTGTCTGATAATTTTCCAGTCCGGAATGGTCTAAAACAAGGAGATGCTTTATCGCCATTCCTTTTCAACTTTTCTTTAGAATATACCATTAGGAAGGTATGAGAAAACCAGGTGAGACTGAAATTAAACGGGACACATCAGCCGTTGGTCTATGCCGATGATGTGAATCTACTGGGTGATAATATAGATACCATATAGAAAAACACAGAAACTCTAATTTACGCTAGTATAGATGGTGGTATAGAAGTAAACATAGAGAAAACTAAGTATATGTTGCTGTCTCGTCACCAGAATGCGAGGCAAAATCATGATATAAAGATAGATAACAGATGCTTGAAAATATGGTAGAGTTCAAATATTTTGGAACTACAATAATAAATCAAAATTTGATTCAGAAGGAAATTAGGAGATTAATTCGGGTAATTCTTGTTACCATTTGGTCTAGACACTTTTGTCTTCTCATCTGCTGAATAAAATGTAAAATTTAGAATATACAATGCTATAATTTGATTGTGTTCTGTGTAAGTATGAAACTTGGCCTATGACAATAAGGGAGGAACATAGACTGAGGGTGTTTGGGAACAGGGTGTTGAGGAAAATATTTGGACCGAAGAGAAATGAAGTGACGGGAGGATGGAGAAAACTGCATAATGAAGAGCTTCATGACTTGTACCCTTTGCCAACTATAATTAGAATGAAAATGTCAAGGAAGACGAGATGGGCAGGATATGTAGCACGAATGGGGAGAAGAAGAGTGCATATGGGATATTTGTGAGAAAGCTAGAAGGAAAGCGACCATTATGAAGACAATGACGTAGGTGGGTGGATAATATTAAGGTGGATCTTAGAGGAATAGAATTGAGTGTTATGGGCTGGATCGATCTGGCTCAGGAAGGGGACTAGAAAGGGCTCTTGTGAACACGGTAATGAACAACAGGGTTCCTTAAATTTCTGGGAAGTTCTTGAGTAGCTACACAATTGGCGATTTCTCGAGAAGAGCTTAGCTTCCTTTAATGGAATTTTCTTGCGGGATCCTTATTTTCACTTTGGGATATCCAAATAATCCAAACATTTTGGAAACACTGTACTGCACCATATCATAACGTGTTTGAAATGAAAGTTGTGAAATTGAGCATTCGTATTTTGCGATGAGTTTCCATTCTTCTCTAAGAAGCCATTTTGTTAAAAATGATAAATTTCGATACCAGCTTTAGTTGACCTAATGGTTATACTGGAGGACAAAATTAAATTCGCTTATCACCATTTAGTGTTGACATATACCAATATACCAATGATTTTCAAACCCGCTTTTTCTTGTTACAGAAAACAGAAGAGAGGTCGTTGCCTATCGCAGTGAGAGTCCATAAGACTCTGGAGCTCGCAGACGACAAGTTTTACGTCATCACTTGCGGCAAGGCTGGCTTCAAGAATGCGCGAAATGAAACTTCTCTCGTTTCCCTCAAATTGCTGGAAAAGGGGAAGAGAGTCCAAGAAGCCGTGTATAGCCATCCCTATACGCTACGTGCTGACATCTCGCGGCCAGACGGTGAGTGCAAGAATCTGAAGATTCTCCTGTGTTTCCTGTCACGGTCTGATTATTCCTATGTTTGATAGAGTCGAATTCCAGAAGTATATTATAATGCATGACGTTCCCTGGGGTTGTTCTACCCCAATTCTAAATCAAAGGATTGTTCTGCCGATACAATTTATGTTTTTATACTTTCACTTGGTGGAGTGACTATAGGCAGGGTTTGGATTGTTAAACGGATTTATGGAACATTTTAACACACAACTCGTGACTACATTTTATATTTCGCTATAAAATACACAGTAGTTTCCACAGAAACTTCTTCATTGCCGTTGCTTGGTAGCGGCTCTCAACTGCGAACGTTCCCTTTCTTTGGTTTCCAGAACTGTTCCCGGCATCAGCTACCAGTTTCTCACAGCAACAGCTCACAACGACTGAACTGCAGTTCTCTATCTCACAACTCACCAATCAGCACTTCACTAATGACTCACCCTTCATTTGTCCTGCTCATTACACTTCGGCACTGACCGCGTAGAAAACACCGCTCCTCTGTTGCAGTGCAATTGTTGTCATGAAATTGTTGAGTTCGTGTCTGTTGGCGGAGCCTCCATCTAGCAACAGCTGTTGTATATTTACCTATTTAACGGTCTTTGCCTCGCAACGGGTCTATATGCCACAGTATTTTCATTAGGGGTTATTAAGGACAGTGTCTGGATAGAACCCGCGACCTTTAAAGACCACTCCAGTAGCCTAGTGAGTGGTTCTTAACGTCTTCATGTCGTCCTCACATCCACTTCTGCCTAAGAACAACGTGTTGAGAAGAATGTGAGATGAAGTAACAAGGGACTAGAGAAAATGACATAATGAGGAGCTTCGTAATTTGTACTCTTCACAAAATATTAGGGCTCGCAAACCAAGAAGTGTGAGATGGGCGGGGAAAGTAGTGCCCATGAGATATATAAAAACATAACACAAAATTTAAAGCAGAAAAGCTCAAGGATATAAATCTCTGGGAGATCTACGAGTAGAGGGGAGAATAATATTAAAATAGACTAAAGGAGACACGGAAGAGCACGGGATAGCGTTGTCGGTTGAGGCACTATGCTACAAGCCGAACAGTTGTGGGTTCGATTCCCGATGAGATCATTGAATTTTTCAATTGACCTAATCCTTCCAGCCGTACCATGGCCCTGGAGTAGACTCAGTCGCTAGCAGAAATGAGTATCAAGAATCTTTCTGGGGATTAAGGGCGGCCGGCGCATAAGGCTGACAACCTCACCGCCATCTGTGACCCCTTGTCTAAAAATGTGGAAGCCTCGACGTCTCACAACCCTACGGAGCGAGCTCCACGGCCTCTTACGGGGATAGTTTTACCTTCTTTATATGAGACACGGCGTAACGATGGAGATTGAACTTAACTGGCTCAAGATAGGGTCCAATGTAGGGCTTTTTGAACACGCTAATTAATCATTGGGTTTAATAAAGAATGAAGGGATTTCTTGACTAGCCGAGCAACTATTAGCTTCTCGAGGGAGACTCTGCCCCACGAAGTTAGTTACAGTTGGATTTGAGGTTCTCACGGGAGTGACTATGAAGATGTAACTGCGAGGTAACTGCCTTGGGAGGCAGCACCCTCCGAAACGTCTGTCGAATAAAACGTCTACCAGAGTAAACACTGTTACATCCTAGAAGACGGTATTCAGCCGCCAGTTCTGAGTTACTAAAAGCCCAATACCATTCTAAATCTATAAACTGTTTATCAAAAACTATCACTTATTTATTTGTTTATTTGAATGGTCTCAGAGTGAAATCTTATATTAAATTAATTAAATTTTGCTTAAAAATTCGTAGCTACAGAAGAGGCATTGAAACAAGACTATGCGAGATATAAAGACGAGAAGACAAACAATTTCAAAGGAAAAGGAAACAAAGATGGCATACAGTCACAATATATATATATATCATGAAGTCAAATTATGTGACTGTCACTATCTTGTGTAGTAAGTAATAAATCGCCATTGAGTAAAATTACCTGTGTTAATTTTTGAGTCAAAATCAATTTTGATTCAAAATACTTCTTGGAATGCAAATACTCACCCTACTACGTGGAGAGCCCCAAGAAGATAGAAACCAGAAATTTCTAAAGGTAGGAAAAGGAATAAAATTCTTTTTGGTCATCTTATGAAGCTCTCAATATGTAACCTGTAAAGCGCCGAATTTTAGGATGATGAATTGGAAATGATTTGGAGGGACGCGGCGGTGGCCTAAGCGGGGATCTACCCTGGCATTTACTTAGAGGTTAGGGGAAACCGCGAAAATTCTCATCGAGAATAAATGGTGTCCCTGCCGAGATTCGAACCGAGCACATCCTGAAAGAAATTCGCTAGAGTCACTGCTATGCCGAACAAGTGCAGTATTCCTACAGAAACTTCGATGAACTTACCTAAAACGGCAGTAGTTTCCCTAGCCTTACACATTTTCTGAGCCGCAGAGTTATTTATCTTCAGGCTATGGAAACAAGAACAGCGATATTTAAATATTATCTAACGACGTGACAGTCATACACCTTAATTAAAATGGTGCATACAACATGTACGAACATCCTGATACCCCAGACTTATACCGGTAACATCAGGCAAGTAGGCTAATGACACAGGAAAGTGATGTTAAGAGAGAAAGTTCTGGTTCCTTATCGTTCCATCGACTGTTTCACTTACATGTCTACTTTCCTAAGAATGACATTTTTGTGACCTTTGTCAGATAAATTAAGATCTCAAATATCTACCTGTTATTGAAATATGACGACAACTTGAGTGCTCCACTTTTACTGAGCCAGGCCTGTACCGATATGTAAGGGATACTCAGATGGAAAGTCGGAAGTTCTTAGCGACAAGTCGGACCCACTCTCATTGCAATTGCTTCCTGGCTGCGGTGTTTATAGAATTGTACGCAGTCAGAAGTGGTAGTTGGAATTGAAGTCGGATTTCGACACCCGGGGTAGGGCAAGAGATTTTCGTCTTTTCCATATCAGACCGGGATCTTAGGCCCACCCGTTCTCCTTTTCCGAAGTGTATCAAGGTTTCGTTCCTCGAGGATGAAGCGGTCCGTGAGTGAATCTGACCACTTCCTTCTACTCAGTGCCGAGAGAAACAATGCTTGGAGCTGTGAAGCCACTCCCCCACATTCTGTACTTCAAAGTACTTAATTACTGATAGGGACCTCGGCTGTTTTCCGTCTTGCTGTAAGCGTAACATCATTCTTAAAGTTAAGTCTTGAAAGACGTCCGTTTCTATCACAACGCGAAGAGAGAATCTTGAAGTGTCGGTGCAAAGTGTACCGCCAATTATCATGTTACTGGTAACACATTTCATTCAGTGTCTAACGAAGGAATTACGGATAATGAATTCCATGTACTGAATTTCCTTATCAGTAGCTGTAGTGTTGGAACGAACACTTTCGGTCAGGAAGCGAGAGCACTGTCACACAAGCGATTGTAGGTTGTAGGAAGCGGAAGGAGTTCTTCACGCCGTATAGGCAGGACGAAACTACTCTACAATCGCGCACCGTAATGGAAAGGTGAAAATGTTATACAACAGCACATCCTATTGACACGGTGAGATTGCCGAGCAACTGCACACCATATTATATTGCCTTGCTCTGTGAGCACAGAAAAGTCGTGGTGGGCAGATCCCTCGTTCAAAGTGTCTTGCGAAATGTCCGAAATCAGAAGGATTCATAACTCCATGGTTAGTTCCGAATAGGGACATTCTAGAAGGGGTAATCCATGTAAATGTAATAAGGAGCCCATCACTGGTCCTTATCCCAAAACATACGTAGTAATAATAACGTAAAACTATACTTGTAAGAGGTCGTGGAGGCCGATAGGATTGTAAGACGTCGAGACTCCTACATTTTCTAGACAAGCAGCTCACAGATGGCTGTGAGGTTTTCAGCCTTAGGCGCCTGCCGCCCTTTTTTTCCCCCCTTGGCACTACAGCCCCAGTGAGCCTAGGCATACCTCCATGAACTTCTCCGTTCACTTCGGTTTTTCTAGATCTTACACATTCGCTAGGACTCTTTGGGCGGGTAATCAGCTCGTCGCAAGGCCTCTACCTGTACACAAACACAGAAAAACGCACACACACAAACTAAACATCCATGCCCTGAGTAGGATTCGAACCCACGATCCCGGTTTCCAAGCGAGCGAAGACAGTACATGCCTTAGACCGCTCGGCTACCGTGACCGGCCCTGCCGCCCTTTATCCCTATGAATATTCCTGGTACTCATTTGTCTTTGAGGCTGAGTCGACCTCACAGTCATAGTGCGGCTGGAAGGATTAGGTAAATTAAAATTTCTGATAACCTCATCGTGTGTCAAACACGCGACCTACTGGCTTGTAGAATTGTTCTCAACCAACTACGCTACCGCGTGCCCCAAGATATAATAATAATAATAATAATAATAATAATAATAATAATAATACAAAAAATAATATTAACAATAATAGTTCAACTATTTATTTACGTGCTTACTCAACAGCCCAGAGGCCAATTTCAAAGTAAGCACGAGCGAAGGGGCAAAGAAAATAAGCACATACACATAAAAACGACAAAACTACTTATTTCATTTAGACAGTAAAAAATTTTCAATAAGTGCAATCACGCCAATGTAAGTAATGTATAATCTCATACATACACCCGTGTTGAATACACTTAATATTTTAATAATAAGAAAGTACCGCTATAAAATATTATTAAGAGTAACAGAAAAATAATTCCATGTAGCAGCGTCTCTCTTAAAACCCTAAGTCTCTCAGGTTTTCTAGAAATTCATTTCCTTTCATAAACTCCAAATGTCCATTACTTGTTCACAAGAGTCTGCCACTGATCCCTGTCTCCAGTCAAAGGAATGCATATCAATTATTATCCGTTTTAATATTGTCCTCAAATTTGAGCCTATATTTCTCCATTTCATACTTCCTACCTAATAATCTGCAAGCAATTCTTATCTCCCAATGAGAGCTACATACTCCACATCAGCAAAAATGTTAACAATAATAATAACGTAACTAATCATTTCTCTCCTGCACTTTCTGTGAACATGACATAATATTCTGCGTGAACCCGCTCCGGTATCAGATTTCAGTATGTAATAAAATTTGTATTTCATTTCAGGCACTTACGGAATTCGAGTGAAATCTTGTTTCGCGTTCAGCAAAAGGAATAGCACCGTGTCTCTCATTGACGACAGAGGGTAAGTAACATTCATATTCTGTGCGATTAGTGCTCAGTTTGAGCTGAAAGACAAATCTGAACCATGGTGCTTTGTGCACTGTAATAATCTATCCACCCGTCTGTCTGTCTATCTATCTGCAGCACTTTGTTGGACCTTGGCAGCTTTCTCAGTTTGTTAATCCTGTAAATAGTCGGTAGGGCACCTTGGACTGGGGATCAGCCCGTCGCAAGACCTGTACATACACACAGACATCCATGTCTTGAGTGGGATTCGAACCCGCGATCCCAGCATTCGAGCGGGCGAAGACAGTTCACGCCTTAGACCACGCGGCCACTGTGTTGAACTACTGAATAAACTGTAGTAATAGGGGATCGAACAATGTATAATAAATGAATTTAAGTATTTGGAATGTAATAAATCATATTCGAAGTGCTTCAGCCATTCTTTAATTTCCTATTGAAGTTATTACTATTCAGACATGTGTATTGCTGTGGAATCATTTAAATTTACTCTCTATACCTTCATTGTTTTAAATGTGATTTCTTATAACTTTTCTATAATTTATAATAAATCGTAATCTGTGTAAAGGAATAAGGATACGGAAAGTAACTCAGCAGAATTATACAGAATATATAGCAAAATCAGCAGAATCATAACAAAAAAATTGCGCGAGGAAACTCGGGATAAGAAGACAAAATTTAAAGGCCTGTTATTTCATATGAATCACATGCGTGGGCAGTAACCTAACACATAATTATGGAAGAAGTCGCTGAAATATATTTCCTGACATTGGTAGAAATTATTTCCAAAGGCCAAAGGGCAGAATGATATTAGAGAGTAAACAAAGATAGAAATTTAGACTACATAAATAAATTGGAGAGGCACGTTGAAAGGAAAAAACAAAATCTTATTCCTGAGAGTTCTGAATTATGGTCCACGAGATAAGAATGCTAGAATAGAAATATGAAATACTGATTGACCAAGTGAGATTTTCAAGAGAACGGAGCAGACTATCAGCCCTACTCCTTCATGCAGCAGATGACTGCAACCAGCATAAATAAGAGGGTATATCTGACATGACAAGACTGCAGGCGGTTAAGATGTACAGACGCTATTTATACACAACCAAAACAACTTCGACAGGAGGTTGTTTTTTCGAAACCTGCACACACACTTCCTACCAGCAGCTCCTGTTGAGGTACAAGGCATTCTTATGCCAATGATTATAAGACTAAGAAGAAGTTAGATGCATTATTTTTTGTTTAGGAGGTAGCAGTTCATTTAACCTATGAATTGACGGAAGTTTTAACAGCTCATTTAACTGTCATTAATCTGTTTGGCGCCCATTTATTTCTAAATTACTCTCTCAGACCTCGACTGCACAGTTGTGCGTAACAGAACATGGAGAAGGAAAGGGAAGAAAATTGAAGGGAATAAAAAAAGACGACTGAGAAGGAGGATAAGACGAGACTGAGAATAAAGGAGAAGGGAAAATGAAGGAGAAAAGTACACAGATGAAGAATGATAAGAAGATACAAATATTGTCCTTCTATGACGTCTACATACCTGTAATGCCCACAAAACATAACTGTACAAAAACTAGTTTCTGTCTGACGACTTGATTCTCAAATATACGTACTTAGGTAGTATAACGTCTTAACTAGGCGAGTAGCGTGTCTTGAAGATACCTCCACAGTTACTTTCCCCCCCCCCCTGGCACTACAGCCCCAGTGGGCCTAGGCCTACCTCCATGAACTTCTCCGTTCACTTCGGTTCTTCTAGATTTTAAACATTCGGTAGGTCTCCTTGGGCGGTTGATCAGCTCGTCGCAAGGCCTCTACCTGTATACAAACACAGAAAAAAGCACACAAAACAAACTAAACATCCATGCCCTGAGTGGGATTCGAACCCACGATCACGATTTCCAAGCGAGCGAAGAAAGTACTTGCCTTAGACCGCTCGGCTACCGTGACCGGCCCACGATTACTTCATGTATTCTTCTAAACGCTGTAGCCAACTTACTAATTTGAATAAATCGAAAAAGTCGTAATTTAATTAAAGAAGGCAAAGTTATTACGTGTATTTGCGTCTGTCTGGATGTTGATAAAATAAATTTAAGCTAACAAGCCAGCTGAAGTACTGGATTCTTGTAACTTTGGAACGAGGCAGACGCGCCGTGCAGCAATGCTGTTCACTTCTCTTACGAATGTACCACGCTCTCCAAATACGTTGCTCCCTTTTTGTTTCTGCTTTCTGTCATGGCTGGACCAACCCAAAAGCCTGCCTCCGTGACCTGTCTACCGACTACACCGTTTTATGCAGCAGTTGAGGTTCCCACAGCGGTGGTTATGAGGAGTGCTGACTTCTGGGATATAACGTCCTGTGGCCCGTTGAAAGTCAACCGAAGTTTCGGAGAAATATATCGCCTCCATCTTCGGGGACGAACGACTTTCCACCTGCTTTCACGCTTGTATCTTGCTAGGCTTATTCAAACCTGAAGATGGATGTTCCTCGGGAACATCGGTTGCCCTATAATTATTTAGTTCACTGGTCACGAACACCGGAAGCATAAGGGAATCTCTTCTTCGGCTCTCGAGGGTTAGGCCTTCTGCCCAGACCGGATTCTGAATTAATTTTTTAGCTTTCAGAAGCTTCAGGAATTTTATAGCACCCTTTAAAATGGAGATCGATCTGTAGCAACACAAGAACAAAAGGGATTTGTGGAAATGTACTTGGCCCCTAGCGGAGTTTGAACCCGCGATCAGTTATGTTTAAGCGGTCCAAGACCGCATGCACCTCAAACCGTCTGGGAATAAAATGTCTTCCCACAAAGTATTGCGTTCCTATCATAATGCATAAACATTTAATGAACATTTCTTGACTGAAGTCATTTGACACACATACTCGTACAAGTTGACATCGTTGCGTGAAGCAGTTGTAGTAACCTGGCTTCTTTCTGGGAATCCTTGCTCGGCGAACGAAATGTGTGGCGGGTAGGTCACCGCGGTATTAATCTGCATGTTATAGCAAGTACCCTCGAAATGCGTTAGTGCACAAAATGAAAGGGCTTACCATATTGGTATGATTACAGGGACATCTCGGTTGGTGTCTCCGGAGAATTTAAACTTCAGAAACCAAGTGAAAGAACAAAGAACGTAAAATGGCGTCATAAGCTTAATAAATAGCGAACATAAGGTGATTACGAATCTGCTTATAATCAAATGAACACTATTCTGTAATATTCGTGTGCAAAATACTGTAAAAGTGTGCTATTGTTAAAGCGACGGGGAATCAGAAACGTTACAGTGATGCAACGTGATAATTATGATACTAGTCTGTAACACATAACCTTTTCTTTAGGTTTCAGAATACATTCTTACGCCTTACTTTTACAAGATTTGTATAATGACGGAAGATCTTACAAGAAGACGGGAGGTCTGCTTCTTATGGGAATGAGATCAACAACGAAAACGACAAAGAATAAGTTACTGAAAGATGTCATTAAGAGGCAGGTTGTGTGATAACTGCTTTTCTAAATGCTAATGATTCAACTGATGATAATGACGATTGTACAAATGGAAGTTTTATCCGAGGAGTTAGAGCCCCTGCTCAATCAATTCTCACACATGAAATGGTTGTTAGGTTTCAATGTGAAATTAGAGGGAGGGAGGGAGAGAGAGAGAGACAGACAGACAGAGATAAGGTATTCAGGCCTACTTTAAAATCCACAATAAAGAACATAAATTTACGAGAAATTAATAATGATAATGAGGTTAGAGTAACGAACTTTGCTACGTCAAAAGATCTAATCTTCAACAGGACAGCATTAGGTTTAGTACATCGCAACATTTATACGTAATTACTCTTACTTACTTACTTACTTACTTACTTACTTACCATGGAACTGAGCCCTTCTTGAGGAGCCGCCAATTCTGCAGCTACTCAAGAATTTTTCCCAGCATTTTATGGAACCCGAAGGTTCATTACCGTGTTCACAAGAGCCCTCCACTGGTCCCTATCATGAATCAGATCAATCCAATCCATGCCATCCCATCCTATCTCTCTAAGATCCTTTGAATATTGTCAACTCGCCTATGCCTTGGCCTTCCCAGTGGTTTCTTTCCTTCTGGTTTTCCCACGAATACCCTAAATGAATTCCTCGTCTCCACCATTCATGCTACATGCTCTGCCCACCTCATTCACCTTGACTTGATCATTCTTATTATACTTGGAAAAGAGTACAAGTTATGAAGCTCCTCATTATGCCGTTTTCTCCAACCTCCTGTCACTTCATCTCTCTTCGGTCCAAATATTCTCCTCAACACCCTGTTCTCAAACACCCTCAGTCTATGTTCCTCCCTTAATGTCAGAGACTAAGTTTCACACCCATACAGAACCACACTTAATTACTCTACGTATCTTATATATATATAATTACAGGACTAAAGGTCTTATTCGAAACAGATTACTTTCTGGATAAAATACCCGTATATACTTAAAAAACATCGAAAAACGACTTTGTAGAGCAGAAGACAGTATTTATTATATCTCTGTTATCTTATTTATCTTGGAGATTAGCTTCAGGTGATATGGAAGTAAAAATATTGTTGATAGTTATTATAGTACTTTGCTATTTACAGTTACATACATACATAAAAAACGGGTGGGCCTCACTACTGGTCCTTGCACCGCGACCTTCAGCGATCTATTGTGCATGCAATTTACAGTTACTTGCTTAATTTCGTTGTTGCTGTCTCAAATGCCATGTTACGATTTTCAAGACACTTCTATCGATACGTATGGTAGTGCAGTAGGTCTTAACGTGCGACGGTCCATCGCTATCTGCCGACAAGTTCCATAATGCGCTTTTTGTCGTTATTAAGTGGCTTCGTGAATTCCTTAAAACCGGAAACTTGTTTTGCTGAAGTTGCGCTTCATGTGCACATTACCATACTCACGCCCCCTCCAGAGGGGCACCACCCAGCCACAAGCCCTAGTAACCATGCGGTGGCAAAGGT